ATTTTAAAACCGTGAGGCTGATAGTAATACATAACGGGTTAAAGCAGACATCTATTAATTGAAGTTTTTTTTTTTTTGTGAGAATCCTTAATTCTCGGATTGGATTAGTTTTTGTGGGAATCCTCTTAATTCTCTTGAGCTCTCTAATTGCTTCCTTGATACAAAAATGAAATGAATGATGCTTGTCTCATTAAAAATTAGAGGGGTCTCTTGCCAAAATGGAATATATATCACATCATTCATATAAAAGTTAAAAAAAAAGATTCGAAGAGTAGTATTTAATGATATATAGATAGGCAGAAAATGCATCCGGGTATCAGATAAGAATGGAGATCATCAGAGACTAGAAAAGATAAAAGTGGAAGCTAGGGTGGTAATTTGACCTTTCTAAAGACTAGAAAAGATAAAACAGAGTAATCTAATCGGACTTCATTATGAACTCAAGGTCACAGTTGTACAGCTCAAATAACAGACCTAAGGAACAGGTCATCTGTTTGGAAGTTCTTTATGAATTCAAGCAAAGGGAAAAGCAAATTCTTTGGACGCTGAAGCTGGTTTGTTAAGATCTTGCTTTCTCAAATCTCCCACTTTTCAAACTCAATTATGATAAAACCATAAGTAGCACCTTTGAACTTCAGCACAACAGATGATAAATCAATCTATAGAAGTTCACATTTTGTTTGTTTGCTCATGTATTCAGGAACAAGAAATGTTAACTGCAACATTACGCTATAAAAATGTCTGAAACTAGGGAAGAGAAGGGTAGAATACACTCTGCTAGCAGCTCATACAAAGTTAAGGCAGCAAGAAAAGCAAGCCTCTGCAGATATAACATTTAAATCTTAAGCTGAGGGAAAGCTAGCTCCATCCTTTATAGATTCGCGCCAAGCAACCTCCCTAGCTCCGTTCTTGTCTACAATCTTGATAACGAAGTTCGGTGGGGCTACAACAAGCCTGGACCTAATCTCCAGTATGCATTTGTCAATCAAATCAATGGCTTCTTGTTCTGTCATGCCACTATGGTAATGTCTATCCATCATGGCGAGTGAAAAGTAAGACCCATAACCAAAAGCTCCCTTCTCAACCTTGTGAAGGGTGGCAATATAGTCTATGTAATAGAGGGATGGGCCAGTTTCCTTGTCATATCCCGCCAGAAGAATGTTCACGGAATATGGATTCTGAAAATCAGAAGTTCACAGTTGAAATCAGGTTTGTCTTACCAAATTACAACCCACCCAACAAGTTAATTTCCCATGACAACAAATAAGCCAGGAGAGCGAGACTCCTTATATACCTTTTACAGCTCACTCGCAGTTATCGACAAATGCAGAAAGAACTAGAATTGGATCATTTATTATTCTGCTCACAGCAACAAAAACCAAATTACTATGTAAAACTCCTTCACAATGTGCTCATCTACACTAGAGTAAATCACAGCTGCATAACTCTACCCTAGCTTAGCCTTAAAGATAGGTGATCTTTGCCCAAGTCGCCATGAACTTCGTTATTTGGCATGCACACACTTCAGTAAGAAAGACTAAAAAAAGAGACCATGCTTGTGCTTGCTGGGGCCGCACCATGAAGAATGAGTTCGATAAAACTAAGAAGGTATGATAGTAAACAAGAATTGATTTTTATGACAGTCACTAACATTTGGAAAAACACATGGAAAATCATTAGTAAAATTAAATAAAATCACAAAGAAACCGAGAATCCACAAGAAATTCCTAAAGTAAGAGGTGACCTATAAGACATAAGTCACTATTAATTCAAAGATTTAATGAAAGCCTTGCCTAATGATAAGGAATGAACTAATAAGATGACAATTCCAAGAGCAAGACTGAAACAGGATATAATACACACGAACATTGTCATGATTATCAGCTTGATACAAGAAAAAAAGAACAAGTAACAAAGTGTTAATAGAATGCAATATCTCTAGAGGTTTATCTGCCTAATTTCTTGTCACTGCGAGACATTCTTAAAAATGACAGAAATCGAGAGTTTTCCTAAAAATTTCTTCACTGTGAGTCATTCTTAAAGATGACAGAAATTTCCTCGCTCTGTCTAGACATTTGAACAATTTTAAGCTCCAAAAAGTTAGATTGAAGACAGAACCATTCAAAAAATTTCATCATGACCAAATGATTGAAACCGCTTATCCGATGTAAACTCAAAGCCCAGGATCGAAAATTCAAGGTTAGCTGAAATTTTAATCGGATAAAAGTAATAGTAATAAGAAATGATATACCTTCCGCAAGGCGGTTGCGAGTTCACCACGAGTGTAGTTAGCAGCAGCAGCAGTGGTCAAGGGGATCCCATTGCGAAACTGATACAAAGACACATTCTTCTGTATATACTCGGTGAACTGAACCCTATTCAATCACACGAGGAAGATCACAATTGACAAAAGGCAAACGATTAGAGAAGAAACAATAATTGAATAATAAAAATCTCAAACCTGTCGCCAGGTTCGCCACTAGCTGCGACGAGCTTGTGGGAATCGAGAACCATGATCTTGTCCTCATTGGATTTATGGACCAAAATACTGTGCACCGCCGATGTATCCGCCGCCACTATGACGAATCCGTTGCCCACAAGTCCGAATACGCTCTCCATCCCTTCTTATTTCTTCTTCTTCTTGAAATCGATCTGGTTTTCCAAAGCCTCAGTGAAATTTGTGAGTTCCCCCTTTTCCAATTATGCTCAGCAATGACTTGAAGCCCAAGTTCTCTACAAGACCCATTTTCATTTTAATGATTAAACATAAAATATTGAAATTTTAGAAATATATTAAATATTTTTTTCTAAAAAAAAATCTATTTAAAAAATTTTGTGGAGCAATTATTAATTTATCTCAAAATCATTAATAATTTTATTTTCACTATTTTCCCTACTTATTCAAATATATAATAAATTATAACTAGATTGTCAACTATCATTAATGTAAATCTACATATATTTTGTTATAAATGCGCAGAAACCTCTCTCTAGTAGACACGTTTTAAAATCAGGATAGGTTTAGACCGTTACCAAAATATCTGCTAACAATGAGTTGGACTATTACCAATGGTATCAGAGTCAGTCACTAGAACATGACAGACATTGGTCAGAGTAGGGCTAAATCCTCTTCATAGAAGACATGTTTTAAAACCGTGAAGCTGACAACGATGATTAGTTTGGAGCAATTCTATGTTGGTGGCCTCTTGAAAAATTTTCTAGAAAACATGTGGGTGAGAAGAGAACATCCTAAAAGACTCGTGTTAGTTTATGAGAACAATCTTCGATTTTAGAAGCAGTTCAAGACGAGTGAATAATATAACTATGCCATAGGATAGATATAGAGGAATGTAGTGCCGAATCTAAAATCTAAATTCTTATCCAATTATTGGTCACAATTGAACAAAAAAGAAGTCTTTAGCTCGAGATCGTAAACAATCGAGCATCGTATACAGCCGAACCCACCTAATCATCCAATTCCAACCATCATGTTTCAAACCAAACAAGAAAATTCAATGGAGTTTGAGTGTTTCAGGCCTTCATGATAAGATATGTTACAAGTTGACCTCCCAGTCTGACTTTACTTAATTGATGTGGGTTTTAACCTTTATGTATGTGTAAATGTGAAGCATGTTCTTGACAAAATCATATGGTCTGCAAGAAATGGCAGCAGCTGGTTCTTTAGCAGTGTGCTTGCTTGCTTGTTTTGTGGATCCCATAGACAAAGACAGACAAATCTGCTTTTAATATTGGCTGGTGGGTGTCATTTTGAGGGATTGATTACCTATGATTAGGTATGTTTGAGGGTGTTTCTTTTGCTTTCGGTCAACTAGTGGGAAACAATTTTGTAATCATATAAGGTTCTAAAACACGTTCATTAGAGGAAGATTTTTTTTACACCCTTATAAGAAATGTTTCGTTCCCCTCTCCCATCGATATGAGACCTAAAATCTACCCCCTTTTGAGGCTCAGCATCCTCGCTGATACACCGTCCAATGTCTGGCTCTGTACCATTTATAATAGTCCAAGTCTACCGTCAGTAGATATCATCCTCTTTGGGTTTTCCCCTCAAGATTTTAAAACGATTCCATTAAGAAGGTTTCCACACACTTATAAGGAATGCTTCATTCCCCTATCCAACTGATAAGGGACCTCAAAATCCACTCCACTTCAAAGTCCAGCATCCTCACTGACACACCGTCCAGTATATAGCTCTAATATCATTTGTAAATACTCAAGCCCAGTGTTCATATATGTTATCTTCTTTGAGTTTTCTCTTTCAAGCTCCTCTTTAAGGTTTTAAAACGCGTCCATTAGAAAGAGGTTTCCACACACTTGTAAGGAATGTTTCATTCCCTTATCCAACTAACGAGGGACCTCAAAATCCACTCCTCTTCAAAGCACACCGTCTAATATCATGATGTTATCTTCTTTGAATTTTCCCTTTCACACTTCTCCTTAAAAGTTTTAAAACTGTCTATTGAAGAGAGGTTTACACAACTTTACAAGAAACCGGTCGTCCCACTCCTACCAAGAGCTCAAAAATTTAGAAGATATAAAAGAACAAAACCAAAAACAAAGGCTTTTTTCTGAATCTTGGTTTCCATTACTGTCAAAACCTGTAACATTGTCCCCTGCTTTGTCTTTCTAGTTTTGTTCACTTGTGTAATCATCATAAAGAAGATGGCATGCCTGAGAAGACAATGAACAAAAAACCAACTTTTTACAGTAAAAGTGATGAAAAATGCACAGCAGTCAGCAGGAGAAAAGGGGGGAAAATTCAGATTTCACACTGTAATAAATCATATCTTTTTCTTCAACTTTTTGGGGGTTTTCACCTCTTTCACATCCTATGGTAAATAAGTATCATTCATACATCCACTGATTCTTTTCCTCTTTTTGGATTTGAGGAAAAAAAAAAAAAAAAAAAAAAAAGGTGCTACCAATGTGTATTCCCACACAGAGAGAAAGAATCAAGAAATGAAGAGAGAAAAAAATTCAAAAGAAGCCAAAAATATTACTCGATCCTCCACATGTCGTCGCTTTACAGGTCGAGTTCTTCCAATCCTGCAAGAACAAGAGCTTTTCATGATTAGAACACGACGAAGCTACAATAATTGATATTAAGTACAGAAGTAATCAGCAATCGACTCAGCCGATATTCAACAGGAATGCTTAATGGGAGTAACAATCATTACCCGAAAGCTAAGCATCGTTATCGATTAGGCGACCGAATTATGCAGGTGTGTACTAAAAAGTGAGTAAACTCAGCTATAACAAGATATGATGAGCAAAGGCACAATGTGTTGTGAAGAAAGGTCAGTGGTATTAGGTAACCTACAGGGACTTCAAAATGAGGACCTGAAACAAAAAGCAAAAGCAATATGAGACAAAACAAGGTGAGACCCCACAGCTGAACCAAGAAAAGAGAAGGAAAGCATACTTTTTTGGGCTGTGAGCTACGAAGTGTCCCCATCAGCCTTCAAGGGATGAGCTCCACCACCGTCTGGGGCCAGATTTGCAGTCAAATCAGGTATAGCTTTCTTGAGGGTTGAATTATAGGAGAGTTGAACAAAGCTTTGTAAAGGAGATTCAAACAAATCCTAATCCTACTCTTACATCATCTCTCTCTTTGGGGAGGAATCTTATTGCAAAATTTTCTACGAGTGTGATATACAAAGTTTCGGGTCGGCCGAAAAACGATACCTCACAATGGCTTTAGCTACAAAAGGGATAGCTCACTATGGCTGGATTGTGTAGCCATTGGATCTCGCTTTCAGAAAAAGTTTAACTCGGTGTATCCATGTGCGTATGGAAGAAGCTCTTCAACTTCGACTCTCGAACTGGAATAACTCATGCTTTTCTTCAATCTCCCTCGACTTGACTCAACCTCGGCCCAAAACACTCCGTAAACCGGTCTATGATCTGAAAACCTTGACTCTCCACGGACGTAGGATAGCTGATGGAGGCCTTCTCCATGCCATAATATCCGATCGCACCTTCATAAACAGAAGACGTAAATCAGCGTGCTGAATTAGTAGATGAAAACTTTCCTACCATGGCTAATGTAATAATAAGTTGAGATTGAATAAACTGGCTGGCACGATTGACTTACCAAGCGGGTTTACGACGCTTTTCTTTCGGGTAAGCGCCCTCTCCTGCATATCGATCTGAATTAGTTGAATACTTATATGTAGGAGGAAAGTAAATCTTTCCTTCATTCCATCCAGCAAATACATGCCCAAGTCTTTGTTCTATTCGTAGCTGCATAGGAACATGGTTGGTTAATTATAACGATGCATTCAAAGTTCCAATGTTTTTCGAAGACGAGGTTATGCAGTCATACCTGATCTTTCTCAAGCAATGCCCTCCAGTTTTGCATCTCTACGAGCGCCTTGGCCGAACGGTAAGAAAGAGCAATTCGATAGTTTAAATCCCCGAGCCAAATAACACGACTGCAAGATAGCTTAAGATGGTCAGAACAATGAACATAACTAAATTTTGTGTGCAGATGTTGATGAGAAAATATCTTACTCATGCTCGAGGATTGTTTCAGGGGATTTCTCGTCGCTGCCTGCACCGTGAACTCGTGGAAACCTTGTCTTTTTAAGTATCTCCATCACGTCAGAGTTTCTTCTAAGCTCGTCGCCTTCTTTCTCTCCAGATGTTAAGTGAGTACAAATGAAGCAAAAGCTTGTTTGATGCAAAGACATGCTAATAGAAATCGATCCCTGCAGTAGATCAGAGCGTTCGTTTCGATTAACAGAAAAGTTGAAAGATATTAGAAAACGAAGCTGACGTTGTCGTATGATTGATACCTTATTTCCAAGGTAACCCATCAATCCTCTACCAACACAAGAAACCTTCATGTTTCGAACATGATCCCTCAAGTCACTTTTCACCCATATTGTGAGAAATATGCCAACCATTTGTTTGCTTGCAACTAAGCAATATCTTGAATGTCCTGGCATTCTATATCCACCATCCTGGGATGACGATCCACCATGCGACATAGGCGAAAACAAAACCGTGCTCGGTGACTCCCACGAAACATTATCATCATCGGACGAACCCCATCTCGAACAGTCACTAGGCCTCGAGTCACTCGGCCTGCAAAAGTCGCTCGGCCTAGAGTAATCGCTCGGCCTGCAAAAGTCACTGGACCTGGAATAGTCACTTGGTCTTGAGTAGTCACTTGGTCTGCAGTAATCACTTGGCCTGTGGCTCCCTCTAAAGTTAGGACCAAAATCACTCGACCGATGACCGAAGATAACACGGTCACATACACTAAATCTTCGGTCGAGTCGTGGCTGCAGTATTGAAGGATCATTATCCATTCTCCAGCTGTGAGTTGTTTGAAACGATCGTCGATGGAAGAACGATGAATTCTTCTGCCTAGCAGACCCCTCAAAATCTGCATTTATCTCCACAACGGGTTTCGGAATTGGAGAAGGCGTATAACACGCATTCCCCACGCTCGTTCCGGGAAGATTGTTTAGAGTCTTTCGAATGAGAGCCTGCCATTTTTTAGCAGGACCATTGTCTTCTGCACCGAGTATATTACCAGCATTCAATGGCACTATCTCCTGAAATCTGAAATCCACAACGAAACAAACTTACCAACTATCTTCCCTTCTCCAAAACTGATGGAAGAACAAACTACAATGAGTGAAAAAGCGTATCAAAATTCATACCCAAGAACATAAATATCAGCAGGGGGTGAGGATTGAAGCCAATCATCCAGATTTAGATTGTTAGGAGGAGATCTTCCAGCCACGTTCCATGTAGCAACAAAAATGCTGAAGAAAAACCACTCAGTTTTGGATCAAAACCAACCAAAATGCAAGAACAGAAGAAGAACAACCAATTCTTTACCTATAGTTCTGCACATCAATGATTCGAGGATGGTCAAGATTCATCTTCCCTCGGCGTCCCGGCTCGCCATTTTTGCTGAATTTCTCTGAGAATTGATGAAAAAAGTTATGATAAACAGTTTTTCTAAGAATCAAACTCACAAAAACGAGGTGGATTAGACTGTGTTTATGAACCTGTTTTGCTTTTCTTGATGGTGCAAGGCTCCCTCTCTGAGAAGCTTCTGCTTCTGTAATCGATATCACTTCCTGTAGAACAAAGAACGTCATCAATGGAGAAAGAACTTCAACCCAGAAGCAGAAAACGAAAGATTTCAATCAAAATTCAAAGACCAACCTCTATAAGCAACATCCGCTTGAAAATCCTCGCTTTTGCACCTGATATTGAACCATTTCCTGACCATTTTCTTGGACCATGAGAGCTTCAAGAACCAAAAGGAGAGCCAAAAAACAATCAGATTCCCAATTTTTTCCTTCACAAAACATAAGAATCAGTATATCCAAGTGGGGTTTTAAAGAAATTGAAGAACAACCTTGCTTTTCTTGGAATTCTCATCGCTCATTGTTCCACCACTACTTCATACAGCTCCCACTACTACTCAGAATTCAAGGGTTTCGCTTCAAATCATCAAAAACCCATCAGAATCCAAGACAAATAGACAAAGAACTCTCCATCCAAAAAAACCCTTAAAGGGTTTCTTCACAAACACCCAACAAGATCAAACCCAAAATCCCCCTTCCTTCCACTAAACAAGAGAGGCCCAAAAGAGAGGGGAAAAGCTTAGAACAAGAAGAAGAAGAAATGGGGAGAGATTGTGAAGTAGAAGAAGGCAATGCAGAGAAAGTTTGAGATAGAGAGATAGAGAGAGAAAGTTTTAGAGAGATATAAAGCTCATTGAGCTTCTCTTTCTCTATTCTGTACACCAAAGGGCCTCGTTCTCTGTAAAAACAGCAAAGTATCGAATTTGAACAGTATAAAGTGCAGAGAAGAAAGAAAGAAAGAACGAACGAAAGAAAGAAAGAGTGAGTGAGTCAGTGTTAAGGGTCTCCCTTCTCCTTCCCCTTTTCCTTTTTAATTCTAGCTGAGACAGACTCAACATGATGGAGCAACGGGCATGCCTTTTATTACCCTTCTTTTTCTTCTTTACCCTCTCTCAAACATCCACTAAACCAAAGGGTCGCCCTAAAAAAGCCTGCCCTCTTGGGTCAACACAACGGTTAAGAAGCCTCGCCCTCTTCTTCGAGCCTACCACTAGTACATATTAAACTTTTCGCTCAAAAATTTAAAAACCTGTAATATTGGGGAGATGTTTCGGGTTCCCAAAGTTCAATGTCTGGCTTTGATACTATTGGTAACAGACTTTCCTCTCAAGATTTTAAGAACGTATATGTGAGAGAAAGCTCTCCAACCGAACCGAACCAAACCCTATAGCCTTCAATTTTTTGCCCTGTTTTGGTCTACCATGAAAGCAAAAGCAACCTAAAGAAGGCAATAAAGATAAAAGCAAAATGTGTATACGAGTAGTAAATGTTTTTTGTTTTGTTCTTTTGTGAGTCAAGGAATGTTTGCGGGAGAAGGCACAGTAATTTCACAAAAAGGGTCATCCATGCCTTCTTTAACGCATTGGCTTTCGTGTTCTTCCACCTCCGTTGAGCTACATCTTTGTTTAAACTAATCAAGCTTTCAACTTTATCATTTTTATGGCTACGAAAAGACAGGGGAGAGAAGGAGAAGACTCAGCTACATACCACAAATACTGTATTCATACCAACCAAGATTGAGTTTTTACATCTTTTTCCCAATAATGATTGGAAGAGATACGGGAAAAAGCCACTCTCTGCCCCAATATCCATGTTTTTTAGCTTCCAATTTTGACTTGGAGAGGACAATAATGTGGGAACTTCAAACAAAATTCACCTTCTTTTTTGGTTCCTTCTTCCATTGCTTGGTTTAAGGCCATTGTAGAATACGAGGATGTTTGGTCCAAATTATCCTGTTTCTTTCATTCTGGATCGTTGGATCAAATTCCTAGTTTCTTCTTCTTGATGCAATATTGAAACAAGTACAAAAAAGTATATAATTTATTTTTAGAAATTATTTCAAATACGTTACCAAATTTATGAACTTGACTAACTTTTTCTTTACTAATTTCCTAATACACAGCCATTAAATTATGTTTCTAATTTTAAGAATATATTTAAATATAATTAAGTTTATGATAGTATAAATATAAGAATATTTGATATTTTAATTTATTTTGAAGGATGGAATAACTTCCCCCACACACACAAAAAAAATTTTTAAAAATTTCATTAATTTGAAATATCGTTCTTCGTTTTTTTTTTTTTTTTCCTTTTTTGAATATTCTCACAAAAATAAAGTATAAGGAGAAGATATTTAATATTGGTGTAGCATCAAAGGTTTCCCTACCACTACATAATTACTATAGGTTACATAGAACGGTATGACCCACAATGATTAAACTTACTTCTAGTAGCGTAGGGCCTTTTCATATCATTCCCACTAACTTTTAGCTCCAAATTATAATACTTGCATTGCATTTAAAGGGTACAATACCCGCTTAATATAATATCAATATTAAAAAATAATTCTACCTTACTAATCAATTCTATTATTGTCCTGCCACAAATGATTTGAAAAATTAATATATAAGAAATTATTTGAGGTCGGGTCAAGTAGTCGAGATAAATTTTTTCCTGTAATTAAATTACTTAAAAGAAAATTAATCAAATAAATATACATATTATGTAATTGATAAATTCCGAAATCCTAGGGGAGGTGTTAAATTAAATACATGAATTTGCGTGTGGAGAAAAAATGGATGATGTAAAATTTCCACACGAGTCAGAATTAGACCACGCGCATAAGGATTCCGGCCGCCGCCCACGCGGCAGCTCTGCCACCTTGAGCATCGAAACCACCCAACCGCCGTCGTCCCAGCCTGACCGTTTTTTTTTTTTTCAAGTTTGACGGTGATGGGTTCCATTTGGCTTTTCCCTTTCCTCATCATTGGTTGGCTCAAAAAATAAAAATAAATAAATAAAAGCCTTTTTAATTAAAAAAAAAAAGTATTATTTAAATGGACAAAATATAGTGAGGCTACGGCTGAGCATTCCAATTCATTGCTTATAATTATTTTTTTGGAAAAAACTTTATTATTTTAATAATTATTAAAAAATTAAGAAAATAATGGAAATTAATGTTATATTACAAATAGGATTAATATTCATTCTTACCGTGAAATCTCCATTCACGTCCCTTGAAGATGATAACAAACTATTATTTATAAGGGTGAAGAAACCTCTCTCTAGAATACCGGAGGAAAAATGAAAGTGAATTGTGTTGGATGATGAAAGTTCTACCTCGGTTAATTTAGAGAATGATCATAGATTTATAACTGAATAATACTAATTCCATTGGAATGAGGCTTTTTGGGAAGTCCAAAGCAAAGTCATGAGAGCTTACGCTTAAAATGGACAATATCATATCATTGTGGAGAGTCGTGTTCGTCTATCAAATTGAAAAATAGCAAAGAGAAAGTGGGCATTGAATAGAGAAAACAAAGTGGGGTTAGAATTTGAAATATGTTCCATTTTTTTGTCAATTTCTTGGTGCACTATTTTTCATGACAATTTGCTTTTCCTATTGGAAAAATCAATCTTATTCCCATTTCAACTCCCCAATTATTACCTCCCCAACTCTTTTTCTTACTTTTTTTTTATTTTTTTATTTTAACACTTTTATTATTAATTTAATTATCTAATTTTATCTTCGAGTCTCCATTCAATTAAAAAAATATAATCTTTTTATTTAATCAAATCATTAAAAATATGATCACACTTCGTGTTTTCGATACGTATTTCTATGTTAAGAAAAAATAATAATTGTGAATGTTTGATTAATCTAACACACCTAAATAATGGTGTGAAAGTTATCTTATTTATAATCAAATGAATTACAAGAATATGGAAATAACAATAAATGGAAAGATACCTCTGATAATAAGGCAAATATTAGATATTTGTCTTATAATAAAATATCAAATATAATATATATGGTAAACTATAATTTATTACTAAATATCCTTAACAATAATAAATTAAAAAGACGAGAAAAAGAGAGAAGGAAATAATAATAATAATAATAATAATAATTGAAAATAGTAAATTAAAATTATGAGGTACCTCTTCCACTTCTCTTGATATGGATTTGGTACCTTATTCTAAAAAGAGATTTTTTGTTTTTATTTTATTAACAACAGTTTTGAATGGGTTATAAAAATAATTGAATGGGTTGTTTTCCGCTCTTTGTTTAGTATCAAAACTAAGTATATTGTTTCGCGGTCGTGTTTTTCAAAACATAAATAGAAACGTTATCAAACGGGTCTTTTCTATTGTAGTTTTGTTCTAACCGTTCGAAACAGTAATCTCGAGACAGATCTTAAACTACACAGAAACACATCCTACAAATCAACGAGCTTCAACACGAACATGTTGAATGAAATTAAAAAGGAAAAAGAAAAAGGGAAGGTAAGAAGTATCTTGGAATGAATGAGGTTTGAAGATATTCAAATGGGCCCCCACCAAACCATCTTTCTTACATTCCTCATCTTTTCAACCAATAATTCAAAGCATCTATAAATCAATTTGGTTATATGTTTCCCCTTATTTTTGTAAAACCTTCCATCCTCCTCATCATCATCTCATCCATGGTGGAAGATTCCCTTCCAATTCAATTTTCTTTCCACTATATAGTTTAGTTGGGCACTCGATAGCGACTCGTTCGATGACGTTTTCGTGTTTTCTTATTTTTTATTTTTTATAAATATAAATTTTGTGTAACGGTAATTCACTTATATATAATTTTTTTAAAGAACAAAATCAACTTTCGTCTTTCTTGTTCATGTTTTCTGTTGTTTTTTTACAAGGGCGTTCATATGACTCGAGAGCCTAACTAATTCAAACTATCGAATACAACCCATGGATTAATTTTTTTTAAAAAAAAAAATTGGGTTAGATTGATTTTTTTTTAAATTGAAAATTTAAGTCTGTTCACATGTTGACATTTTTTGTCAGGTCAATGCGACCCATTGGATGATGAAAGTCCCAAATCGGCTAATTTAGGGAACGATCATGGATTTATAAGTGAGGAATATTAGCTCTATTGGTGTAAGACCTTATGAGGAAGTCCAAAGTAAAATCTCGAGAGTTTATACTAAAAGTGGACAATATCATACAATTGTGGAGAGTCGTGTTCGTCTAACACGACCAACCTATTTTGTTGAAGTTGTTTAGGTCACCAACCCAATCGAAATTTTGAGTTGAAATAAAACATTTTCTTAATTTCATAATAAATATAACATAAAATCTTTTTATATTTTCTTTCATAGACTAATTTTCATGTTAAAATTTTACGTTTTTAATTAAACAAAATTTTCGCCAAAAAAAAAAAAATTGTGAGAAGAACAATTAATAAACAATTAGAAAAAAAAAAATAATCATATTTTTCTTTATTAAATAAAAAGAAATGAGATACATAAAACTAAAAAAGAAACTCATGGAGCCCAAATTTTTAATAAATAATTGTTTATAATAATTTTTTAAACATTTATTTAAATTATAGTCAAAGTTTTGAAATTTTAAAAGGTGGGTTTCAAATATACATTTATTTTTCTTTGACTTTAGTTAAGATTTGAAAAGTATTTTTATACGTGGAAAATCAAACAAATAAATTAGTCATTATTTCATGACTAATCTTTTCACTTTTTAAAATTACATTTTTAATTTTAATTTTAAATAAAAAATAAAAAAAAACTTCATCAAAATAATATTAATAAATTATTATGAACATCGTATTATTTTTAAATTTTTAAGGTGGTTTATGAACCATTTTAATATTTTAAGAATTTTTAATAGAAAAATGTTTTTCATTATTTTTCAATTTGTATATAATAAGATTAAATCAAATTTTGCATGCATTACAAATTTAACTAATATAACCTAAGCTTATAATATAATCTAACATAAGATTATTAAATCACATGAATATATACCTTTACAACTCAATAACATCCAAATGAATCCATACATACCTTTACAACTCAATAATATCAGATGATCCCAACGCTACTTTTGATGAACGGCTGAGATTTCATCTCGAAAAAAAACTCCGTGGAAAAAAAAGCAGCATATTAATCCCACGTAAATATAATAATTGATAAAAATAAAAAGGAAGTAAATTTAAATTAAAAAAAAAAAAAAAAAAAAAAAGGGGAAAATTGAAGAATGAAGTTCATTTGGATGGTTGTTCTACAGTCCACTGAGCAGGGAGTATCAGAAAACCCAATCAAAATCAGACATTCAGATAAGAACAGGAAAAATGGTGAGAAAATTTCAATGAGAAGAAGTATTTGAAAAGAAAAGAGAAAAGTTTTCACCAAGAACACTGAGGGTGGATTGGATTGGATTGGATTGGATCGGATTGGATCTGTGTTGTCTCAGCGTCGGTGGCTTTTCTGTAACCTCTGACCCTTGGAATTCCTTCGATCTTCTTCTTCGACCATCACATCATTTTTTTAACGAATCCTCTGGATCTCCATTTTTCTCCTTCGAGATTGAGTTTCCATGAAGTAAACTCGAGTTGTTCCTTGTTCCTTGCTTGTTTTGCTTAGGATCGAGGAGGATCTTCGATTCAACCAGCACCCATGGAGGTCGATCCAAATTCTGGGGTAATGTAACCGTTTACTTGTTCTTACTTCTGTTTCTAACTCTATTTTCTGATCTGATGATGTCTGTTTCAATCTATAGAAATCGTCGAAACAGATTGGGGGCGGCCAGGTTTGTCAGATCTGCAGCGATTCCGTCGGCACGACGGCTGACGGCGAGCCGTTTGTTGCGTGTGATGTTTGTGCGTTTCCGGTTTGCCGTCCCTGTTACGAGTACGAGAGGAAAGACGGGAATCAGTCTTGCCCTCAATGCAAGACCAAATACAAGTGGCATAAAGGTTTTAATTCGATCCATCAACTATTTTAGTTAGATTTTCTTTCGTAGTTCTTGAACGATTAAAATGATGAGAGATTGAATCGATGGTAATGGGATGGATCGGTTTGTTCTTGGCCTTTAGGAAGTCCTCCGGTTCATGGAGAGGCAGTGGAAGATGGTGATGGTAATGGAACGGAAGGGGCGCAAGAAAGGCATCATAAGAAGCCAGAGCGCACGCTTAGCTGGGATACCAATTATGATAAGGAAGGATCGTTTAATCACATTCCTTTGCTCACCACTGGACGATCTGTAAGCTGTTCTTGCAGCTTAATTCACTTTATTCAATTTTGTTTCTGTTTGTTGGATTTGGAATTGAATTGGGTTGTTTTCTGGTGTTCTCTTTGCTCAAGGTTTCTGGAGAACTGTCTGCTGCATCTCCAGAGAGGCTCTCCATGGCATCGCCTGAAAGTGGGAGTCGCGGTAAGCTCATATGTTCGATATCTTGTGTCGTGTGATTTGTCGGTTAAGGAAGATTTCTTTTGTCATGATAGTTATGTCGATATTTGTTTGATAATTGGCAGCTAACTATAGAATCATGGATCAATCGAGAGACTCGGGATCGGCTAGGTTTGGCAATGTAGCTTGGAAAGAGAGGATAGATAGTTGGAAGGTGAAGCAGGACAAGAGTGTGCCGCCGATGAGTGTTAGTCATGCTCCTTCGGAAGGGAGGGGTGGTGCTGATTTTGATGCTAGCACTGATGTCATGATCGATGATTCTTTACTGTAAGTGCTTCACTTTGTCTCTTGTTTTTTTTGTATTTTATACCATTTCTTAGCTTTCAACTGTTGAATTGCACTTCGTAAGAGTAACATGTTTTTGTGAACTCCAACCTCATATAAATGGTGGAATCAAATTGATTTTGACATTAAGTATTAGATCCTCTGTCTGGAGTCATGAAAAGAACAGGTTCAAAATTACGATCAACTCCTTTTTCTAATCCTACAACAGCTGCACGAGCCTTTCCCATAAATGACCTACGAATAGGAAGAATCCTAGAACAAAATGAGAGGTAGCTAACCAACTTCTAGGAGAGACATAATTGACTGCATTAATTTCGGTAGCTACGCCACCCACGGAATTTAAAGAACCTAAAGGAGCATGGGTCATATATTCCGCGGAACGTCGTTCTTGCCAAGGTTGTATATCTTTTTTCAGCCTACTCAAGTCCAAACCATTAGGACCCCTTAGTGGTTCTAACCAAGGAGCACGCAGATCCCAAAAACNTGGATTTTCCAGAATGTTGCTTCATTGTTTGATGCAGTGTCGTAATAGAATTTCATTAGTTCTTAGAGATTGCCCTAGATATTGATGGCTATTGAGTGTAGTAATAATCTGAGCTTGTTCCTTGGCAGAAACTGAGTGCATTGCTTCATAGTTGCATGTGCGAGGTGTTCTTTGGGAATGGGAATGTGTGATAGTAAGATAGTGATGGCCCAATGGGGTGATTAGTTCCAATTCCGTGATTAAGTTTTGTTATGAACATGAGATTGAAACTTTAAAGCTGTTATTTATTAGTAACCACGATATTTTTTCTCCAGAGTTCCATTCTTTATAAAATGAAGAGGCCAATGCCATGGAATGAACAGGTAGATGTTATCTCATCAGGTGAATCTTCTTCCTCTGATTCAGAAATAGGAGGACAAAATGATGGATTTGAGTTCAAGCCCTCCATTGATGACTTCAAAATTCCTGCAAAGGAGATGACATCTGAAGGTAATTTGATCTTTGTCTTTGTTACACCAACAGTTTGAAGTACTTCGTGAGATAAATTTAGAGTTTCTATATATAAATTTTCACATCCATAAGCTTTGGAAAAGAGGATCTTCTGTGAAATGTCATCTAATGATATGCAGACATGTTGATTAAAAGGGCAGAAATGTATCAAGAATACATGAAACAGATCCCGATCCCGGCATACCGTGGATCTGTTATACCATTTACAACATGGATGGGACTAGGCAAATCTATAAAGCAGCTATATGGACAGCCTTTGCATTACCTGACTAACATTCAACTCAAACAGTGGGATCAATTAAGGTTCGGAAGTGTGGATGAATATAAGCCATTGGATACCATAATTCATCCGAGTAAAGCTGAAGCAACTGTATGGCTGGTTGAAGAGATTCATCGGCGCACCTCGTCACATCATCATGTTGCTAAGCTCTGGTTATCGGACTCAATGCACGAAGTGTATGTTGACTCCATTTTCCCCCAACTATGAAAGCTGCTGCTCTCAGTTAAGTTCTGATCTATGCTGATATTATAACATATTTCTAGAAGACTAACTTGCGTTGACTATGTGAATTGTAATAGAAACAACATAGTTCTTTAGTCACACTGCTCTTGAATGTGCAGGTTTCTTATCAACTGACATAGAACATGCTCTAGCATTGCCTCTTCTGTCCATTGTTGTGTCTGTCTGTGAAGTAGTTGATTGCATTTACTTTTGTAGCTTACAGATAGAAAAGCACTCTTAAGTTTCACAGAGATCGAATGTAAATCAATAGTGAAGATGCATATTTTCTTTTACAATTCTTTCCTATCTGAGAATTCTGTTACCAATAATCACCACATGAACACAACCCTTGTCGAAAGAAGTGAAACCTATTATTATCTCGTATTGTTATTTCCCTATCATAAACTTTTGAAACGTATTTGGCAAATGCATGACAGTCTGAGCACGTTCGGAGATTCTTGATGACACGAATAGGCAGGTGCTTTTTTGTACTTATAAGCCCGTAAGCCATCGCCAGCTTCTCGCTATGCTGATTGAGTAGATAATGTTTCTCCTGTTCATTTACATCAAGCAGAACATTGGTTAAATCAGGAACATAGCCAGCATCCCCAAGCCTGTTGGTGATTTCTTTCAACATCATGTCAATGTGACAAGTTTCTGGGTGTGATCTGTCGCCCGAGGTAAATTCATGAATAACTCCATCGACTTCGATTGAGCTTGAACCAGGCATTTTTCTAACTCCTTTCTCCTTCAAATGTAGCCTCACATTAGCAACATCAGCCCACTGTTCAGCCGACGCATATATGTTTGATAGAAGCACGTGAATCCCAGACCTTTCTGGAGCCGTTTCTGCCAACCTTTCAGCTGCAAATGTAGCCAGTTCGACGTTTTTATGAGTACGACATGCAGCCAATAGAGATCCCCAGATAATTCCATTGGGTTTCATTGACATGCTCTTTATAATGTCAAGAGCTTCTTCTAGCTTACCTGCACGGCCTAATAGATCGACCATGCAACCATAATGAACAATCTGTGGGGAGATTCCATGTTGCTTCATTGACTCGAATATGAGCTGCCCTTGTTCCACAAAACCACCATGGCTACAAGCTGTTAATATGTTTACAAAAACTACTTGATCAGGTTTCACCCCTTGTCTTAGCATCTCACTATAAAGTTCTATAGCTCTCTCTCCATTCCCATCCACAGCCATTGCTCCAATGGCTGCTGTCCATGCCGAGACGTCTTTTCTATCCATATTGTCGAACACTTTCATCGCACTACGAGAGTCACCACACCTAGCAAACATATCGACTAAGGCTGTCTCAAGCAACATATCACAGTCGATATTGTTCTTTATGATATATGCATATATCCATTTGGCGAGTTCGAGAGCTCCTAGATATCCACATGCAGATGCAACTTCTACCATCGTCACCCTGTCTGCTTCTATTTCCTTTGTTTGCATTTCTCGAAAGAGTTCAATTGCCTCCTCGAACATACTCTCTTGAACCAAAGCACTAACCATTGTGTTCCATGATACTATGTCCTTTTCAAGCATCTCATTGAATATCTTCTTTGTCGACTCTAAATCTCTATTTCTAACATAACTAACAAGTAATGAGTTCCACGACACAATGGTCTTATTTGACATACCGTGGAAAACTCTGTAGGCCATTTCTTGTTTTCCACACTTCATATACATGTCAATCATTGCATTGCAAATGTTATCCCAACCTTCATACCCATTTCTTAAAGCAAAATTATGGCAGCACCTCCCAAGTAGATAGTCTCCCATCTGCCCACATGCTGAGATTGCTGATAACAACGAAACTCTATCGGGTTGAAGATCTACCTGAAACATATCTACCATGACAGAAAGTACCTCTTTCGGCATGCCCTGGCGTGCGAAATTTGACATGATTGTGTTACACAAAACCAAATTCTTATCAACACATTCATTATATAGTAGCCTTGCAGCAGCAGTTTCTCCACATTTCATGTACATATCCACAAGTGCATTCACCATATGAGTATTAAGCTCCACTTCGGACTCTTCGATATAAGCATGAATTTTCATGGCCAGTTCAAGATCTTTCAACTTGGAACAAGCTGATATCACACACACCATTGTGACAGAATTGGGTCTAACGCCTGCCTCGATCATTTGGAAAAACAAAGCCACAGCCTCACTGGAAGAATCTGTCCTAGCATAACCACAAATCAAGCTGGTCCATGAAACAACATTTCTCTCAGGCATTTCATCAAACACCTTCCGAGCAGACGAAAAATCTCGTGCTTCTGCATACAGATGTATCAGAGAATTAGCAACAAACATATTTCCTTCCAAACCAATCTTCGTAAGAGCTCCATGGAGTTGAACCCCTCCTGAAAATGCAGCAGTCTTTGCACACGCACTTAATAAAAATGGAAATGTGAAGTTGTCTGGCACAAACCCAGTCTCGATCATCTGAATGTACAATGAAACAGCTTCATCACAAAGCCCTGAAGCAGAGTATCCCCTAATTAACGAATTGTAGATGAAAACAGTAACATTTGCTTCGTCGTCTTCCTGAAAGAGCTCGAATACCTTTCGAGCATAATCCAAGCTTTCTAAAGTGCCCATTTCCACGCAAGTGGAAATCAACTTAGTTACAGTTGATTGTTTCCGAATGAGACCCTGCTTCGACGCGTAGCAGTGCAATTGTCGAAGTTCATCCATGGTTTTGCAATTTTGGAACAACCCAATTTGAAAACGGAGGGAAGCGATATGCTTTGAGTCATTCTGAGCGGTGGGTATGATGAAGCTCGGCGTCACAGAGACGGTTGTATGAAGATTTGCCGCCATTACGGTGTGTCAGTTGTTGCACTGTGAAGCTACCCACTTTGTTTTGGATGAAGAATTGACTCAGAGCACTTGTAACCCAGCAGCAACTGCAAGCAAGTCGATTTCGCCACACATGCACAACTTCGAGATTGGTCGCCCAAAGGAGCTACCTTTTGTTTGTTTTCTCTGTTTCGGATTTTATCTCAAATTCATCGACTATATAGCTTCAAATATAGTGTTATTGGAGGGCGTTTGAAAAGTGAGTAGACTACCGAAGCCAAACCCATGTCTGGGAGAGAAGTTGCAAACCCAAGTTTAGTTCGAGTATATTTCATTAGATAAGGTACAAATCATCTTTTGGTTCGATCTCTACTTCTACTATATTAAGCTTTTTGATCCATAAATTCATGTATCTTGCCACTTAGATTTGGTAGGTAAGTATGTCTTTTTCTAGATTCCATTAAGCTGAAAGATGGAAGACATATATCAAAAATCGTTTAGATATATACTTGGCTCTTGAAAGCTCAATATAGGCCGAAAAAGCATGTTAATCATCTACGCAGGCCCTAATACCCCGAATGCTTAGCTAAAATGTCAAACAAAAGTCATAACTAATAAGAGCACTCATTCAAATTTGGATGTTCGTCAGGTATCAAAATCTGGCTTCTATCAAATAGGACGGAGCA